CTGTTGTTAATAGCTGTGAGTTTGTTGTCATTTTAGTGTTTTTTTTTATCTTCTTTTTCTCAGATAAGTCCCTTTAACATTTCATATAACGTCTGGGCGATAATGAACTTTTTCAACTAGACCTAATCTGGGAAGCACTTTATCTGCCCTCCCATTCTAAATGTAAGCTTTGCTGGAGAGAGCAATCTTGCCTTTCATGACTTGAAATACTTCTTTCCGACCCCTTCTTTCCTGCAAGGTCTCTTTTGAGAAATCAGCTGACAGTCTGATGGGAACTCCTTTGTAGGTCACTGTCCCCTTATCTCTTGCTGCTTCTAGGATTCTCTCTCTCATTTTTACCTTGGCTAACGTAATTATGATGTGCCTTGGTGTGTTCCTCCTTGTGTCCAATTTCTTTGGTACCCCTGAGCTTCCAGGACTTCCTGGAAGTCTATTTCCTTTGCCAGAATGGGGAAGTTCTCTTTTATTATTTCTTCAATAACTTCTCCTCTTGTTGCTCTTCCCCTTCCCCTTCTGGTACCCCTATAATTCACATGTTGGAATGTTTCAAGGTGTCCTGGAGGTTCCTAAGCCTCTCCTCAGTTTTTTGAATTCTTCTTTCTTCATTCTTTTCTGTTTGGTTGTTTTTTTCTTCCTTTTGGTCTACTCCATTGATTTGAGTCCCAGTTTCCTTCCCATCACTATTGGTTCCCTGTACATTTTCCTTTACTTCACTCAGCATAGCCTTCATTTTTTTCATCTAATTTGTGACCAAATTCAACCAATTCTGTGAGTATCCTGATCACCAGTGCTTTGAATTGTACATCTGATAGGTTGGCTATCTCTTCCTCACTTAGTTGTATTTGCTCTGGAGCTTTGATCTGTTCTTTCATTTGTGATTTTTTTTTTTTTGCCTTTTAGTGCCTGTCATGTAGTGAGGGGAGGAGTCTTAGGTGTTCACCAGGGCAGGATAACCCAGTAACCCAGTGGCTGGGATGTGATGCAGTATGTGAGGGAGAGTCAGAGAAGGAACAATGGTACTTGCTCCACTCTCTACCAGATTTCAGTCTCTTTTGCCACTTCCCCCATGCAAACTGGGCCCTTCTGGTGCTGATTCCTGGGTGGGCAGGCTAGTGTACGCTATAGGACCCTGTGGGTCTGTGCAACAAACTCTTCTGTGAGGCTAGGAGTCTCTCTCAGCACCTCAACTGCCACAGGTGTTTCCAATTAGTATTTTGAGGGCCTGGGGCCCTGAGTGGCATGCTCTGTCTCGCTCCCTAGTTTTGCCTGGTTTATCTGCCTGCGAACGTGGGACCGCCCAATCCACCAGCCTCCTTGCACACTGCATCCCTCCACAATGTGCCACCTCGCTGGGTCTGCCTGCTGCTGCCTGTGTGGCAGGGGTACACCAGCCACCACTTTTCTTTGCCAAGTCCCCTCTCTGGCCAGCCACCTGAATCCACCTCTCCTACCAGTCTAGAAAAGTGTCTATTTTAACTCCTTGCTTGTCAGTCATCCATACACTTCAATTTTCTGTCAGTACTGGTTGTTTTTTTGTTTTTAAATTTTTGTTGTTTTTATTTGGGTTGCGCAAGGAGGCACAGTGTGTCTACCTACATCTCCATCTTGGCCAGGAGTCTTAAAATCTTTTTCCTCTCCATGCAACCTACAATGTAATTTTTTTTACTGTGACCTCCACAGGTTTAAAATATAAGTACTAGGAAATTTATAGCATAAGCCATTATATAAACTTTATGTGTATTAGCATATATTTTATTCCTAAACAAAACTGCTTTTTTCTTTTAAATATATACATATATATTTAAAGATTTTATTTATTTATTTTTAGAGAGGGAAGAGAGAGAGAGAGAGAAACATCAATGTGCGGTTGCTGGGGGCTGTGGCCTGCAACCCAGGCATGTGCCCTGACTGGGAATCGAACCTGCAACATTTTGGTTCACAGTCCACGCTCAATCCACTGAGCTATGCCAGCCAGGGTTTTTTAAATATATTTTAGTGATTATGGCATTACAGTTATCCCATTACCCCCCTTCATTTCCCTCCACCCTGCACACACTCTCCCACCCACATTCCCTCCTTTAGTTCATGTTCATGTGTCATAAGTTCTTTAGCTTCTACATTTCCCATACTATTCTTGCCCTGCCCCTGTCTATTTTCTCCCTACTATCTATGCTACTTATTCTCTGTACCTTTTGCCCTTCTCTCCTACTCCCACTCCCTTGTTGCTAACCCTCCATATGACCTCCACTTCTGTGTTTCTGTTCCTGTTCTAGTTGTTTGCTTAGTTTCTTTTGGTTTTGTTTTAGGTGTGGTTGTTAATAATTGTGAGTTTCCTATCATTTTACTATACATGTTTTTTATCTTCTCTTTCTTAGATAAGTCCTTTTAACATTTCATATAAGGGTTGAGTGATGATGAACTACTTGACTTGACCTTATCTGAGAAGCATTTTATCTGCCCTCCCATTCTAAATGAGAGCTTTGCTGGATAGAGCAATCTGGGATGCACGTCCTTGCCTTTCATGACTTGGAATACTTCTTTCTAGCCCCTTCTTGCCTGTAAGGTCTCTTTTGAGAAATCAGCTGACAGTCTGATGGGAACTCTTTTGTAGGTTACTGTCTCCTTATCTCTTGATGCTTCTAGGATTCTTTCCTTCATTTTAATCTGGGCTACTGTAATTATGATGTGCCTTGGTGTGTTCCTCCTTGCGTCCAATTTTTTTGGTACTCTCTGAGCTTCCAGAACTTCCTGGAAGTCTGTTTCCTTTCCATTATGGGAACTTCTTCTTTATTATTTGTTCAAATAAGTTTTCCACTTGTTGCTCTTTCTCTTCCCCTTCTGGTACCCCTATAATTTGCATGTTGGAACATTTAAAGATGCCCTGAAGTTTCCTAAGCTCTTCCTCGTTTTTTGAATTCTTATTTCTCCATTCTTTTCTGTTTTGTTGTTTCTTTCTTTCTCATGGTCCACTATATTGTTTTGAGTCTCAGTTTCCTTCCCAACACTATTGGTTCCCTTTGCATTTTCCTTTATTTCTCTTATCATAGCCTTCATTTTTTCATCTAATTTGTGACCAAAATCAACCAATTCTGTGAGCATCCTGATCACCAGTACTTTGAACTGTGCATCTGATAGGTTGGCTATCTCTCGCTTGCTTAAAAGTGTCAATTGAGGGACTTTCAATTGTGTTTGAAACATCTCCCCCCTCCCTTTGGTCTGGTCATGACTATTACATAGAGGGGCAGAGACATAGGTGTTCACCAGGGCGGGGCACCCCATTGGTTGGGTTGTGATGTTGTATGTGGGGGCAGGGTCTAAGAGGGAACAGTGGCACTTTCTCTGCTCTCCCTCAGACATCAGTCCCTTCCACCACACGCCCCGAGCAAATTGGGCCCCTCTGGTGCCAATTCCCGTGTGGGTGGGCTTCTGCACCCTGTGGGACTTTCCAAGGATCTCTCCTATGAGGCTTCGAGTCTCTTCCTGTGCCTCAACCCCCACAGGTGTTTTCAATCTGTGTCCCGAGGCTCTGTTTCCCAGCACTGTGATCCTGGGTTGCACACAGTGCCTTGCTTCACAATTCCCACCTCGCTGGGTCTCCTGTTTGCCACCCCTTAGCTGGAGTCTGCTGCTTGCGCACTCTGGGTCCACCGCTGCGGTCTTGCAAGCCCCAAATGCCTTACTCACCCAGTCCCAGAGCTCTCTGCTCTCTTCACTGTGACTCACACCAGCTACCCATCTCCGACCCTCCTACTGGTCTGGATGAACGGGTCTATTTTAACTTCTTAGTTGTCCGACTTCCATAGAGTTCAATTTTCTGTCAGTTCTGGTTGTTATTGTGTTTCTAATTTGTTGGTGTCTCTATCTTGGTTGTGGGAGGAGGCACAGTGTGTCTACCTATGCCTCCATCTTGGCTGGAAGTCCACAAAACTGTTTAATATTCTCATTTCACCAAGTAGAAGCACAAATAATGACTTCTGATGTCTCAAAAAACTATCCTAAACTCTGAATGACTAAAAAATAATTGGATTCCTGAACTAAATTATGCAATCATTAAAAATTACTCACTGAGCACCTGTAACAGGCATTTGGTGAGATGTTGGGGATCCGGTACAACAGCAGTAGACAGACCTAACACCCTGAGCACACCACTCCAGTCCAGAGTCTAAGCAGGCAACAGTTAAGAGTTGCCACTTTACAAAATACTGTTTCAAGAAGGCTTGTTTTTGTCTAGAGTCTATATTTACAATAAAACCCAGCACACCAAGATTTATAGTTCTTGGTTTTGTGTTTTCTTCTTAAGTAGAATAGAAGCTCCTTGAACAAAGCGAGTGCATTGCAGACAACTGTACATTCATGAGTATTGCCAGATGAGTGTATCCAGGCAGGCACTAAGTGACTCTCAGGTAAATGAATATACATCAATGCAAGTCAAATGGAGATGTTTCTTAATGTGTTTCACAGTTCCTGTGGTCTGTGATGGTTACTGGTTCTTCCTTAAGAATAGTGCAGTAGTAGTTTACACTGTTACACGGGCAGTCACAGAAGATTCTGAACATCAGTAAGGCAACCAATGAGATGTCAGAGATATGAATGAGGTAGGGTGGCTCAGAGACAGAAGAGAATATTTGGAGAATATTTAAATTTGGCAAAAGAAGGACAGAGTGACAGAAAAGAGCAGGGGCATAAGGACATCAGATGGGAATTGGAAAGCCATTTAGTTTTAAGCATTTATTGTAGAAATGAGAAGGCTTTTCAATACCACATAAGATTATTCCATAGAGGCTGAATTAGAGGAAGATGAACAGAATGAAGGCCAGTACCAAAGGGAAGAGGCTGAAAGCCCAAGAAGAGAGTCAGAACTCAAGCAGAAATGAGAGGCTGAATTGGTGACTAGGGTTTAGGGAAGGAGAATGTGTTTTTTTGGGTTTTTGTTTTTTTTTTTTTTACTGGGGCGGGGGTGCTGGCACTGGTTTGTCTATTGGTAGAAGAAGGAAGTCAGACAGAAGTGTTGTGGGGTAGGTTTCTTTAAAACAGAAATCAAACACTAACTTTTCTGAGAGAAAGAAGTAACATCTGTGCAGTAATGCTATTTTGGCAAATTTCATTGCTAGCAGTTCTCCTCGGAGGTGGTGACAATGAAGACGGTAAGAACTCTGGCAACTGCCCAGCTGGGTGCAAAACGGTGTTTGTGTGTGTGTGTGTGTGTGTGTGTGTGTGTGTGTGTGTGTGTGTGTGCGCGCGCACATGCGCGCATTCCTCTGTGTGGTGTCCTCAGAACACACCTGGAGAGTGAGCATGTCAGCATAGGTCCATTCTGAGTCCCTTCAGTATCCCTTTAGGACCCTGTGCTTTCTGAAGGTTGTACAAGGTGGGGGAAAAGAAGGTTTACAGTTGTAAGCATATGAAACAAAGTTTATTCTTGTGTTATTATTTATTCATTATTGTATTGTTTTTCCTATGAAAAACTGTAAATCTACTTTTGCCCCAACCCTTCTATAAAGCATGGGGCTCTGGGCAGGTGAATGTCTGCTGAGGTAACTATGGTTTCCCTGATCTCCAGATTCTGAGATTTCCCTCTCTGGCATTTTTTTCATTCTCTTTCCTTCCCAATGACATTTTTCTCTCCTTTTTTTTTTAAATAGCCTTTCCGGACCAAATCCTCAGAGCCATCGGTACTTTATCCTTATACAACCACTCCTGGACCCACAGTTGGGGCTCTGGTTGGTTGGGTGAGTTGCAGATCAAGAGATGGAAGAGCAACTCTGGTGGTTTTATTTCCCTGCGGCCTTGGTCCAATGGCAACTTCAACAACAAGGAGATGAAAGAAATAGAAGTGTTTGTCCAAAGGTCCCACAATGAATTCCTGAATTTACTTCATAAACATGACGGTGAATGGATGCTTGAATGTAAGTTCAATTACCCAAATGAGCTGGTGCAATGTTGGGTGGGGTATGTTTGTCTCAATGAGGTTTTTATTCCAATTTTTTTCCACACTCCATATCCTTAGCAATCTCTATCTGTACATTCATTGTAACCTAATTCATTTTATTCAGCGTAGTCATTAAAAACACAACTCTCTCACACTAAGTTCTTCCTTCATCTCTTGCTCTCACCATTTACACCATTCTCTTTCAACAATTTATTCCCTTCCATTTCCAAAGGAAAAAATCTCACTCATTCTTTTCACCTTCAAGTACCACCAATTATGTTTATTCTGAACTTCTGAGTAAACCAAACTTTGTTCCATTGCCTCAAATCCCCAAAACTTCTCTCTTCTATTTCCTTTTTTGCTTCCACTTATTTCATCTTTTTTAACTCCCTTTTCTTTAATTTACAACCCCTCTTCTCTCTAGATCCCTTCGAGGTACAAGCAACATTTGGCTGTGAGCTGCACTCTGGGAAAGTCAAGGTAGACTTCTGGCAACTTGCTTATCAGGGATCAGACCTCCTGAGCTTCCAGAACAACACATGGTTGCCATCTCCAGAGGGTGGAACTAGAGCTCAGCAGGTGTGCAAAATACTCAATCAGCACACTGTCCCCAACAAAATCATGCAATGGACTATTAGTAACTCCTGCCCACGTTTCCTTTTGGGTCTCCTTGATGCAGGGAAGGCAGATCTCCAGAGACAAGGTCAGTCCCATATCCTTCCTCCAAGATTTTTCTATTCTAAAATTATACCTTCCTACCTCCCTTCAGATTTAGGATTAGGAGTCAAGAGGGAGAGAGATAATGTGTGATGAATTCCCAGGGTGGGACACATGTGTCTGTCTAAACTGATGTGAAGGTATGAACCTCCAAATCTGTGTTAAGAGTGCTTTTCTGAGCATCTTTCCTGTCTTCTGCAGTAAAACCAGAGGCCTGGCTGTCAACTCGCCCCAATCCTGGTCCTGACCATCTGTTGCTGGTTTGTCATGTCTCTGGCTTCTACCCAAAGCCAATTTCGGTTATGTGGATGCGAGGTGAACAGGCACAACAGAGCTCTCAACTAAGTGATATCCTGCCCAACGCTGATGGGACATGGTATCTTCAGATCTTCTTGGATGTGGAAGCCACCGAGACATCTGGCCTGTCTTGCCGGGTGACACACAGCAGTCTAGAAGGCCAGGACATCATCCTCTACTTGGGTAAGAGAACACTGGGGTCCACACTGGGGAGAGGAGTAGTTGGTCCACAAGCAGAGCAAGAGCCAGATATAAAAAATTTGGAATTTATGGACTCCAATCTCAAATGAATGAAAATAATTCAATAAATGAAAGAGCTGAAAATAAGAGAGCTGCAGATGTAGGAAGATGTTGAGGGTTAGATGAAAGATTCATCTCTGAAGAGGGATGAGAGAAGAAACAGGAAGAAAGGAGATTTGTGAGGCGAACATTCAGATTTAAAAAAGCAGATGAGGGAAATGTAGCAAACAAGGGGTGGACTTGAAATGACACCCTTGTGTGCACCCAAACCCACAGATCGTCCTAACTCCAAGGCCTTGATCATCTTGGCAGTGATGCTACCCCTGCTGCTGCTTCTGACAGGTCTTGCATTTTGGCTTAAAAAGTGCTGGTGAGTTTTCTGTATCCATCTTTCCTTTTCTTTTATCCCCTCCTTACTTGTTGTCCTGTACTTGTTTTCCTCCCTCTCCCCTTAATTCTTCTTTCCCCAGTCCCTTTGCTTTTACTCTTCAGTTCTCATCTCCACCTCACACACAGTAACGTTCATCTCTGTTCTTTTTATAGGACACATTGTGTACCTCCTCCCACTCTTCTTCCTTTGGAGAGATTCCAGCAGCCCAGGGACTCAAAACCTACTTAAAACTCAGCATGGTGATGATGTCCTTTCAACTCTCTTTTGTACAATTTTTGTTGTGGTTTACCTATGTTTATTTAATGGTCTGTTATTAATGTATACTAGTTGTCATTTTGCAGGATTTGCTTTCTGACCTGGTTGTGAGATTTGAAAACTCATATTTTAACTCTGGATAAAATGAGATCCTTGTGACCTCTCTATACTGGAAAATTAATGAACTTCAGGCTCATTTAGAATGTCACTTCTTTTGGGGGGTGTTCCCTGACTCACAAGTGGAAGCAGTGTCTGAACTCCCACCACACTCTGCAGCATACTTTGCCGACTTTCTACTTTCTATCCTTTGCTGCAGCTATGCAGGTCCCTTTTCCCTTCTAATTTTTAAGTTTCCTGAGAGCAAAGTCTGTATCTCCTTAAAGTTTGCATCATTTATAAAGTGTATTAACTGTATGTAGTATGCTTTCAATAAAAGCCTGTGTTAAGTTTACAGGAAATACATAGTCTTTTCTTATTTTTTATCTTCCTGACATGTGTTGTAGTTGAGACATTTTATGTTTTTTTGTTAAAATCTTCACACTTTACTCGTTCCTCAGTGACTTCTCTGAATCCCTGGGGAGAAACACAATGTGGCTTCCAAACATTCTTACAACTGTGGAAACCTATTTGTGCGCAACTGTTGTTCCAAGTATTTTAAACAAAAGAGAAAGGCAGGATACAGTCCTCACTATTTAGTGTGGTTCGGGGCCAAACAGCAGAGTCACCTCCTTGGAGCTTGTAGAAATCTATATTCTTGGACCTCACCTCAGACTTACTGAATCATAATTGCACTTTAGCAAAATCAGCAAGGGACTCATTAGGTGCATTCACATTTGAGAAGCACTGACAAAGGTGCAGTCTGAGAGGCAGCAGAGCAAGCATGTCACAGAAGCAAAAAGCAGATGGTCAAGAAAAGAGAACAGAATGTTGACAGTCAGGACTGAAGTGAGACCAAAGCAAGGAGTGTGCACACAGTACGTTCTTACTAGTTATGGCTGCTGTGTTGAAGACACAGCAAACACTAAGTTACTAAACTCTTATCTATTGCTCCTCGGGAAAATACACAGTTCCTGTGAATCTCTGGTCAGATCATTTTAGTTAGGTAATGAATACTCAGCTCTGTTTTATGTGTGCTCCTGTTTAAAGACACCTTCTTTAATGTAAAATCACTTCAAATAATTTATTTATCATTTATAGGATTTTTAAAAATACCTATTTTGTGGTGGGGGAAGACGGGGGAAGAGAGGGCGAGAAACATTGATGTGACAGAAACACCAATCAGTTGTCTCTTGTATGAGTTCCAACCAGGACTGAACCTGCAACCCAGGTATGTGCCCTGACAGGGAATTGAACTGGTGACCTTTAGCTGTGTGGGATGATGCCCAACCAACTGAACCACACTGGCCAGAGCTATATGTAGTATTTTTTAAATAATAAAACACCAGCCAAGAGTGTTTAATATCTTCCTGAACCTGGGTAATGCAATTACAAGTATTTTCGACTTTTAGCCACACAGCTGTGCTGTCTATTACGCTTTTTTTTTAAAAAAAGAAGAAGGTCATTATTTTAGGCAGGATAGAGTACAGACCAAGGCAGGGAGGAGGGGGCAGACATGTCTCACCCACAGACCCAGTAGCCCTGAGCCCAAAGTCCCCAAAGATTTGGGTTCCTATCACTTGAGGGGGAATGTTGTGGTGGAATGAGTGACCAGAGGGGAAATAAAGGCAGGGCCCTCACCATCACAATCTAACAAACACTTAGTACAGGAGGCTAAAAGCAAAAACCCACACCCCTGAGCCTGGTCTGAAAAGGCTGCCAGGAGTCCCAAACAACAAGTGAAACTATGACAGTGTAGGAGGCAGGGAGTCCTGGAAAGTCTGTGTGTATTATCTCCACTGGCTGGGAAAAGGAGAACCTTGGGGCTGTATATTCATCCCAAGGCCTGCAAGGTAGAGAGGAAGGGGCCCACAGCGCCCAAAGGAAAACACCCATGAAACAACTTTGGTTCATGGCCTGCCTCCCACCATGTCTGCAAAATGAACAAATAGAGTCTGGAGCAAGATGAGGATTCAGCTAACAGACCCCCACCCATACCTACACTGGGGGAGTCACATCTCTCCAGGGGATACCAGCACCACCTTTACTTGCTAATCAAAATGTAACTCCTTCGCCCCACCCCATCAGCTATGTAAGTCCTCAGAACAAAGGACTCACTCTCTTCTCTTGGCCTCATGACTCTCTTGCCACATGGAGGACCCCTGGCCAGCCAGCCTCTGGCTTGTGGGGACCCAGGCCACCTCTTTTAGCCACCAGGCCTGTACTTTGCACCCATACTTTGCTTTCCTATTAGAACTTTGCATTAATAAACTTTGCATGCTGCTGGTAGGCTCAGTTGCCTGTACATCTGTTTTTTATTTATTTTTTCATTGTTGTTCAAGTACAGTTGTCTCATTTACCCCCGAGCACGCTCCCTGCCCCACTCATCCCCACCTGCCACCTTCGATCCTACCTGCTTTGGCTTTGTCCATGTGCCCTTTATACATGTTCCTTGACAACCCTCCCCCGCCCCATGGCCTGTAATTCCTCACTGTGTCTGCAAGAAGAACCAAGTTCCTGGGACTATCTCCCGAAACAATTATATGGTAGATTCACAAATCTAGCTCCTTCTCCATCCTAGCTTCATTAGAGAATTATAAATGTTATTTTAGAACATTGTGAGCTGCTACACATATAGGTCAGCAAAGTCCTCTTCTTTTTCCTTTTTGAAATATATTTTATTGATTATGCTATTATAGGTGTCCCATTTCCACCCCTTTCTTCCCCTCCACCCTGCACACCTTCTCCCTCTTGCATTCCCCCCCTTTAGTTCATGTCCATGAGACATACATATAAGGTCTTTGTCTTCTTCATTTCCCATACTATTCTTACCCTCCCCCTGTCTATTTTCTACCTACCATCTATGCTACTTAGTCTCTGTACCTTTTCCCCATCTCTCCTCCTCCCACTCCCCCACTGATGACCCTCCATGTGATCTCCTTTTCTGTGATTCTCTTCCTGTTCTAGTTGTTTGTGTTGTTTTTTAGGTTCTGTTGTTAATAGGTGTGAGTTTGTTCTCATTTTAGTGTTCATATTTTTTATCATCTTTTTCTTACATGAGTCCCTTTAACACTTCATATAATAAGGGCTTGGTGGTGATGAACTCCTTTAACTTGACCTTATCTGGGAAGCACTTTATCTGCCCTTCCATTCTAAATGAACGCTTTGCTGGATAGAGTGATCTTGGATGTACGTCCTTGCCTTTCATGACTTAAAATACTTCTTTCCAGACCCTTCTTGCCTGCAAGGTTTCTTTTGAGAAATCAGCTGATGGTCTTATGAGAACTCCTTTATAGGTAACTATCTCCTTTCCTCTGCTGCTTTTAAGATTCTTTCCTTATCTTTAATCTTGGGTAATGTAATTATGATATACCTTGGTGTGTGCTTCCTTGAGTCCAACTTCTGTGGGACTCTCTGAGCTTCCTGGACTTCCTGAAATTCTATTTTCTTTGTCATATTAGGGAAGTACTCCATTATTTTTTTAAATAAGTTTTCAAATTCTTGCTCTTCCTCTTCTCCTTCTGGCACCCCTATGATTGTGACTTTCGAATGTTAAAGATGTCCTGGAGGTTACTAAGTCTCTCCTCACTTTTTTTAATTCTTTTTTCTTCATTCTGTTCTGGTTGAATGTTCCTTTCTTCCTTCTGCTCCAAACCCTTGATTTGAGTCCTGGTTTCCTTCCCATCACTGCTGGTTCCCTCTAGATTTTTCTTTATTTCACATAATGTGACCTTCATTGCTGCATGGGTCTTTTTTATGCTGTTGAAGTACCCAGTGAGTTCCTGGAGCATCCTGATAACCAGTGTTTTGAACTGTGCATCTCAGAGGTTGGCTCTTTCTTCATCACTTAGTTGTATTTTTTCTGGAGCTTTGAACTGTTCTTTCATGTGGACTAGTTATTTTTTTTTCATCTTGGCATCCCTGTTATGTAAAAAAGGGCAGAGGCTTAGGTATTCACGGGAATGGGGTAACCCATGTACCTCTGTTGTGACGCTGGATGTGGGGGAGGCGTCCAGGAGGGAACAATGCCACTTGGTCCACTCTCTGCCGGATTTCAGTCACTTCACCCGCTACCCACAATCAAATTAGATCCTTCTGGGACTGATTCCCAGGTGGGTGGGTTTGTGTACATTCTAGGAACCTTGTGGGTCTCTCCAATGAACTCTCTTGTCAGGCTGGGAGTTTCTTCTGCTGCCACCTCAACCCCCACAGGTGTTTTCAGTCAGAGGCTTTGAGCCATTATTTCCCCACATTGGAACCCTAGGTAGTGTGGTCTGTCTTGCTCCCAAGTTGTTCCTCCCAGTTTATCTGCACACAAATGTGAGACAGCCCAGTCTGTCAGCCACCACCTTGACCACTTGAGTCCTCCAGCTGCTGCCTTTGCATGAGTCCTCTCTGCCCCTCCTTCCAGTCTGGATGAATGTTTCTTCTTTAACTCCTTGGTTGTCGGACTTCCATACAATTCAATTTCTGTCATTTCTGGTTTTTTTTTTTTAATTTTGTTGTTGTCCTTGTTTTGGTTGTGCCAGAACACAAGTGTGTCTATCTACGCCTTCCCTCTTCCTTTTTCTGGATTTAATGCATTGGTTATTTATTACCACTGAACTCATGGCCAACAACACTACAACTCATGTCTGAACAAAGCTTATCTACACATGCATTTCCTCTGTAAGGTAACTACAGATTATTTGTGCTTAACAACACTAGACAGCTTCTTAGCACTATGCTTCTGGGATATTTTAAACATCAAAATTACCAATAAAGAGCACAACGATGTGAAAAATGGGGCACTAAATACACCCCAGAAGGGACACTTGGTTATAGTGCAAGAACTGAAACAGTGAGGCAGAGAGTCACCTTGTTCAACCTCAGCACAAAAGGCAGGGTAAGCTGAGATATCCATGACTGGACTTCAATTACTTCAGAATTAATTAATTTCAAAAATAATTCTTAAGCACTTACTATGCAGCAGGGACATATGGAGCGTAAAGTAGTGGGGGAGAGAAAGGTCATCACTGTCTTCTGAGTTGAAAATTTTGCCTTCCTCATTTGATTCAACAAGTTTACTGTTTTCATTGTTGCATCTATCTTAATTTCTTAGTACAGCAACTTATTTGGGTTGAACTAGGGGAAAGGGAATTAGTTTTCCTTTGTGTGGAGAGCTGAGAGAGGGAGATAAGGGTAAGAACATCCCTATGAACCTACTGCAGGTGGCAGCAGCTACACATGTCAAAATTTTTAAAAAATAAAGTGAGTTGGGAGAGCAGGAAAAGGTGAAAATAGTGGGACCAGGAAGAGCACACTGTGGGACTGCTGCAGCCTTCCTACCTGAATTAGGCTGGTTGATTC